AAGAAGAAAATATTTATTTGGAATCATTATTTGGATTGATATTTGATAAATTGTTCTTGGATGTTCCTTTAGAAGTAATTATTAAAGAAAAGAATGAATTAGAGAAAATTATTATTAGTTTTAGTAGTAGTAGCAGTAGGAATAATAACGATGTTGATGACAAGAATAACAATTGGTTAAAAATATTAGAAGAAAGAATTAAAAGTTTAAATGATTATTATAATCAGGAAAACGAGGAGGAGGATTAATAATGCAGATGAAGATGATCTGGAAATGGAAGATAAACATAGGGAAGAGGATACTGTGGAAGAGGATGAGGATGGTTAGGAGGAGAATGATAATGATGAGAAGTTGTATTATTGATAAATTTTTAATTTTTTAAAAAAATTTTTTTCTGCAATATATTATTATTATTTTCTGATTTATATAGAATATATATTTCATAAATAAATATCATTCCATTTAAGCAATCTACGGTTCATGAACTTTTATTTTCTTGATTTTTTTCTTCTACAATTCCCAAACGATTCACGTCAGTTTTAGAATCTAATTTCTTTTTTGCTATTTGATCTTCTTCTCTACGTTTTTCTATCATCTTTAATTCTTGAGCTTTAATTTTTTTAGCACGTGCAATCTACATTTTTAAAAATTGTGAACAAATAAATAAAATATTATATATATAATTTATATAGATTTTACCTCTTTTGTATGATGCAAACATTCAAAATAATCTTCTTTCTCCATTATACAATCTTCTGGTCGATTTGCCATTGCATAACATTTACGAAATTCTTGCCAGAAATTAAAACATCTTCCAATACCTCCATTATACCCATATCCTGATGCCACTATTAGATTAATTTGATAAATAGATTAATAGATATGAAAGAGTGAGAAATATTGACTATAGATGATAATTTTAAAAATACCAAACTTGTGTGAGATAAAATTACAATTTAAAAATTTTAATTTAAAAAATTTCAGGGGTTCAAAATCAATCAGATCATCTGCGGACATATACATTCGTGAATTTAAAAAAAATTGCCGTTTTTGGAATAATCGGATAAAGGTAGTCAGTCAAACTAGGAATCATACTTTTATCATGTTTATAACGGGAATGTTTGATATATGTTGTGGTTTATTCATTTCATTTTTCCATTTGTCTCGGTTATTCTTGCATTCCCTCATTTATTTATTATCTCCATTTTCATCCTTATGGCATTAAACACGTCTATTAATTAGTATTTCTAACTAAATTTTTTAGTCACAATCTTTTAAAATAGTTATTTACCCTCACTGTCTCTTCAGCATTGTTGATTTTGTAGATTTATTGATTTGTTATTTTAAAAGGTAAGACTACAAGTCTAAATAAATATATTACTAAAAATGAGACAGCTTCATGATTTACACCGGAATCCATCATTTCGATGAAATAAAATGTGGACCCGCTTATGATATTTACTACCATATGCAGCGATTTGGGGAAAACTAATCGGAGAGAAAAAGTGACAAGTAATGGAAATGAATCCTTGAAGATATCCATCAACGTGGGATTTTGCATGTGACTTACTTTTGTATGTTGGTTTAAAGCTATATCTTTTTGAAATGGAAAAGAAATATCTGGGATCTCTCCCTAGACTTGATATGGCTTCTGTGGATTAAAAGCTTTATAACATACAATCATCCCATACTTTGTTCGAACTTGAAATTTAGAGAATGTATGACCCGTATTTGCGAAAAACTTATTGAGATAAAAGACAAGCAAAGCAAATGCCTGAAATTTATCTCGTAAATTTTTCTTTAAATGAAATAGACCTGAATGGAAGCCCAAAGTTATATTAATTCTCTCAAAGAACAGCAAAAAATTAAAAAAGTTGATGTAAAAGATTGCTCCAATGAATGTCCATTGATAGCTTAGTACTAAGAATGGTTGACGAAATTAGACATGACGAAGTTCATATTTATCGCTGATACTAACGCTAAGAATCTTTTGACGAAACTGACGAAATTGATTCAGCCAATCAAATCAGATAAAAAGCAACGGTGGATTTAGAATTATTGGATGCCTGTGTAGGTTTCATAATAGATGTACAAGTAATTGTGTTTAATGGTATGTGAGATTTTAATTACTCATTAATATGTAGATGTGTTTTAAAGCTTTGCATAATAATAACTCTTTAAATAGAAGTTTTTGGTGAGAGTACACAAAGTGAAAAGGATTATTATCTTCAAATTCTTCGAACAGATAGGAAAGGCAAAACCAATATCATGGATTAGGGTTATATACACAACAGACCACTAAATATTAAACATCCGCGACCTTCCATATTCATATATCAGTAAAATGAGCACATTTAATTAATGCTGATGGGAATAGTGGTAACAGCGATAATACCTAAACATAAACTACTAACCTAAACTAGTTTCAGGTGGTTTCTGTTAGTTTCTGTTTTGGGTTTTCCCTAAACTCAGAGTTTCAGGCCACAACACTAATCTCCTCAAATTTCACCATCATCCATTTACAACCTATTACTTGGCCCTTTAAGGATGTATGAAGTTTTTTGCTCCAAAAAAAATTAATTAATGTGATATTGTGCGTGAAATGTGAAATCAAAATTTTACTATGTAAAGTGAGTATGTTTTCCAATGCAAAACATGCCAAGTGAAGAGTTGTATATAATGCTGGCATCGATTCAGATGCTTCTAAATTTACGTATACGTTCTCTAGACAAAGTATTTGAGCCAAAGAATAATCTTTGATTTAATAACTAGTAATAATATAACTAACTAATTAATCAATCTTTGATTAAATAAAACACTACCTTATTATGAATTTTCGCATAGTTAAAGAGGAGGGGCCCTCGTAAATCGGTCCATGGCCCTTTCTGATGATTAATAGTCCGGTCAAATATAATCCGGCTTTTACCCTAAATTTATATATTCTGGCCTCGCCCAATATATACTCCTACAAAGTTAGCTATCGATCACTGAATAAATTACAACCTATACTACTTGAGGCTCTCTACAAACACAATCAAAAGGGTTCCTAACTAATAATTAAAGGTTTTCCGGGGATGAACCAACAAGAATCATTAGAAGAGCTAGTGGGTTACCAGTATAAATGAATCACATTAATATTAATTAACCAAATCTTGGTCAATTGTATTGTTATTAGATAAAAAGCAAACGAGAGAAATCAAATCTCAAGTAGTTTTGGTTGTTAATGTTGCTATTAATACATACATATTACAATCACCCTATAGTCTAATCTGTATGATATTACCGATCTGAAACCTTTTCTTGGTCACCCCCACAAAAATCACTTTTTGTATTCATCAACTTGGTCTTTTAAAATGAATTCTTCATTAAAGTTTTCAATATATATATATTTGTTATAAAAAAAGTACAAGTTACTATATAAAGGTACTCTAATCAATGAACAAATTCGGGTATACTTTTTTTCATCTATTAGTATCACGAATTAGAATAGAGACTACTATAGAAACTCTAAATCAACGAATCAACATAAAAAATCATTACTGAAATTGGTGTATATTTGTTATAAAACAGGTACAGATTACTATACTGTGCTCTAATCAAAATCATAGAATGAACGAATTTGGATATACTTTTTCTATATATAAAGGTGCTCTATCAATCATAGAACGAATTCGGACAATACTTTTTTTTCATATCAATATTTAGGTAGATGTGACCGCATTTTTAAAAATATAGAACAGATGAATTCAGATATACTTTTTTCATTTATTTATAAAGTGTACGTCATTATTATGACTGCATTTTTTAATACGGGGAAATATAAACATATGAAATATCTTTCTTTTATTGAAAATTTTTTTTTTAAAAAAAAATTTATCCTTTACAAATTTTTCATATACATTGAAAAAGTTATTATAAAAAAATGGAAGAAAATAATAACTTTAACTCAAGTGATGAAAATAATATTGACATTATAGAAGTAACAGTATTGAATACAGAAAAAGATAAAATATCAATTACAGAAGAAGATAATCATAATTCTAATTTAAATACAAATGATGCTATTCAACAACAAAATAATCCACATAATGGATGTGATATTTTTGAAATAAAGTATAGTCCAAATTTAAAGTTTTTAGTAACTCATAGTAGAAATGATTCATCTATTGTTGGGTGGACAGCTGGTCTTGATGACGGAACTATCCAGCGAGATAAAGATTATTATTACTTTAAATATTCTGAATATGATTTTGAAAAAGGATGTGGTGTTTTTATAAAAGATGTTTCTGATGACAAATATATAATTTTATATTATAAAGATTCTAATTATTATTCATATTCAGGAGATTATAGTAAGCAATTATTAATTAATTGATATATGTATTTTATTCTTATAATAACTAAATAATAAAATATTTAAATTAACTTTTTAGAATTTCTTGACTTTACAAAAAAAAAATTGTGCTGACTTTATAATTAATGGTAAAATAGATAATGGAGAATTTTATGATGGGAATTTTATTACAAATAATGATTTATTAATTATTAAGCATAAGTTTGTTGGTATCTACTATTTATACAATTTTTCATATGTGAGTGATGATGACAATGATGCAAATGATAAATTGGTTCATAAATCAACATATTATGATAGTTGGAATTCTAAGTTTTTTGTAAATTCTGGCAATTTTCTAATTGGTTCTGATGGTTCATTTATATCACAATGGAATGGTTTAACAATGTCATATCAAGATAATTATTATTTAGTATATCAACAATTTGCTACTGATATTATATTTAATAAAGACAAAACAATAATGGCAGTATATTATAGAGCTCATTCAACATTAATTGTATATTTGTTAAAAAATAATAATATTATTTCTGCTAGTAAGTATTTATATATTCTTATTATTTGCACATTATATTAATTTATAATTTAATAAATATATTTTCTATTTTGTAGCTCAATTGGAAAATAATATTGATATGAAAAAATATGATTTTATTTATCCAACGGATCAATTAGAATATTTATTAGTAATATATTATCATAAAAACACAAAAAGTTATAATTATAAATTAATGAATCCTTATAATCTTGTAATTTTATAGATATTATAGGGTATTTTACAAATGAAAATGAAGATATTTTATTTGGACTAATTTTACCACATGGTAAAATAGCCAAAGTTACAGGAAATCAATTATACATTAAAAAAATAATTAACAATGAAAAATTAGATAAAATTCAACAAAAAAATACATTTAAAAAAAAACAATTATTATTTACAAGAAATACAAGGAATATTTGAAATGCCTAAGATTCCTAAAAAACTAACAGAATTTACCATAGAAACTGGGAAATCAATCAAATGGTCAATAGAATTTGATAATAAATTTAAAAATATTAATATAAAAGCACAAAAAATTAATGATGGAATAGAAGAAGAATTATCAACAATTGATGAATATGGTCTTGATAGTAATGGAAGATTTAAGTATTGTAAATTATTAAATAATGATGATTTAATTTTATTAACAAATGTTTGTATATATATTTTTTCAGTTAGCAACAAAAGTTCCAAAATATTTACATAAAAAGTATGGTTAAAGAAGCTATTAAAAATAACAACATTGAAAATTATTTATTTGATTTCAACTGTTACTTTGATAATATTAATGACTCATATATTGATAAGCATCAAATTTCTAGACAACCTTTTAAAAGAAATGTTAGATAGTATGCTCAATGAGTTTTATTATTTCAACAAATTTGGAAAGAAATTATTAAAGATAAGATTAGATAAAAATAATAGTATTCTGGTAGAAAAAGTATTTGACTCTTGTCTTGGTCATTTTATAAAAGATGCTGACTTAAATATTAGTTTATTAAAAATAATTATATTAGAATTACCAAGATTAGAAAAAAATCATTATACTTTAATATCAAAATTCTTTAGTCAGACTTCAATGATATTATTTCCATTTGTGAAACATTCTCAGAATTACGATACTTTTTATAATGCTATAGACATTGAAGGATCAGTTTATAATAGCTTCTGGGACCTTTATTATGAATATAATTATATTAAAAAGTTTATAACATTTATAATTAAAAAATTAAATAACA